ATATATAACATCAATTTTTACAGATACGGAGCCAAAATAACCATGGGTTAACGAAAGTATAAGCACAGAAATGGTAAAACAAAACAGTCAAATTGGGGGAATAAAAAATGTTTTATTTGTTTACTGCACCCTATTTTGAGTTTTTTTTTCGTTTTTGTTTATTCTTGGGGTTTTACTCAACAAAGAATGCATTCGCGCCACTGAATTCGTTTCGATGCACATCCCGCAGTCACTCCAGGCAAAGACAATCTGAATCTTTGAGGCCCAAGTTGGGGAACCGGATCCGAGCACAGTTGACTTCCTCAGTCATATCGAATTGTTTGCTCAACTTTAATGCCCGCAAGTACTATCAGTATTGGCTTGATGATTTGCAGGCAATGCAGTAACTATTAGACAAATCTGAAATAACGATACATTATGGTTCAAGGGCATCATCAGATGAATTCCTTGTAAAGGGAATACATATTCAGTTCTCATAAATCAGTTATCCACACTTGTAAAACGTTTCACCAGAGATTCAGTGGAGAATTTCACGTCTCTCACGACGGTCTAGAATAACAAAATTGTATTTACTATTAGTGTTACACACGTGATCAAACAGATGGTTCATTTGTTTCGGGGTATTTCACAAACCGGGAGATTATCATTTCGTATAGCCATCTGCAGGATCTCTTCATATTTCAGTCAGCTTTCACGCTGGAATATGACGGCATCGGTGTTCTGCTCATTCCTTTTAAAGTGATCGGGAAAAGTGGGAAAAGAAGTGAATTTTTTATAGCAACCAATATTTAACCCTGGTCCACAATTCATTTCATCTAGTTGGATGTTGAGCAGATGGTTTGTTTTCCCTAACTGTTCTGTTTAGTTGTGTTTCCGCTTATACCACAATTAACTAAACATTTTGATGAGAGGGTTTAAGTTGCTATCTTTCGGCAACCCTTTTGGATGAACGTTTAAATGGAAGATTGGAATGCACTTTCACCTTACACATGCATTCAAAGACACAGGACTGTTTTGATTCCCATCTTTGTTATTCAGATATCTGTCTCGAAGCATCGGGATTTGTAGTTTTTCCACAAATCACTGCTATTCTTGAACCGTCTCACTTACGCAATGAAACAAAACTGATGAGACAGTAACTCTACCCTCTATTCGTGGCTTTTTGTACTATCCACTTGCGTAATGCCTTTCGGACTAGACTTCTTATCTCTTGGTCAGAACGTCATGAGAATACAAATTACTCAGACAATAAGCTACTTATGGTTACTCTATGCGAAAGGTCCTCCTTGTTCATCGCATCGGTCCCTTATTCCATCTGATTGAGTGCCCCATTTTAGTATTCTTCAATCCAAACAGAATATTACAATGGTAATGAAAGAATAGAACACAATGTTTCAAACAGATTACTGACAACCCAGACAATATTTGATGGGACAATAATGGGCTTGCATTCTTTTCCAAACAAAAGACATCAGTTTTAACTGTCACCTGACCGTGTGGTTCAGAAAAATTTAACGTGAAGTTGAAATAGGCTTGAGGGATTTTGCTTATTGTTTTATCAATCGCACAATGATCTTATTTTACATGCTATCACCTACCCCTTTCGCAATCAAAGAACTATACTTGTACAATTCTTGCACGTTTCCAACGTTATGGCTTTTAGGACCCCAGTTCAGTGCCCTCTAACGTTGTTTTAGATAAATCCTGTCCTGATGCGTTCACAGTCTATTTGGTGGGTATTACTGCAGACTGATTTGCATAATGAACAATGAAGCTCATCATTTTTCTGTCTCCAACAGTGTCCATTCTTGCTGTTGATATTAGAAGTAGATATGTTCTTACTGTTAACCAGCAGAGTCTCCATTCTTGGTTTCTTCGTCTACGTAGTCCTTCTGAATTGGTGCTCGAACTGTATGCTATGTTTTCCTCCATCGTCTTCAGGACTGCGTGGACTTATGCTGGCAGTGATGTCAGCTGCTTTGATTTCGGACTTGACATCCATTTTCAATTCAGCCAGCACTCTGTTTGCGGTGGACATCTATAAACGTTTTCGAGGGGCTGCTACTGACTGGGAGCTCACTCTGGTCGGACGGTACGTTGGTCGCATACAAGAAAAGGTTTTATTCAAAGAAATCACCAGTTGATAACCATTTTTTCCATGATCTCGTGCAGTTAGTGGAAGCCTTTGAAATGTTACGCGATTGTATGAATTTAAGTTGTTCTTAAATGTCTTGCTATGAAACAGATATTCGGCAGCAACTGACCTGTTTCGATTGAGCGTTACCAAAGCTTTTAGGTGGAACCTTTGTGCACATTTTACCTTTCCATCAAGTGTTTCTCTCTTTTCTTGGTTGATGAATAATGATCCAGAATATCAAACGTTGCACAGTTTTATGTTAATTTGTATCTTCTAGCTGTACGACGTAGTTTTTAGTATTTCCTTCATCCAACTGGAACCTAAATTAAAAGCAGTGCTAGGAAAGTTCTAGTGCTGCAGTATCTCTTTATCTCAATGTCCGCTACAGAAAGGGTATCTACCCAGAGAAGAAATCTCAGTCTCACTAAAGATGAAGTTCGATACATGATCCAGCCAAAAACGACGAACTTCCTTGACCACTGCTTCTCTTACGGATGCTAGATATCATTCCATGCACCAATATCTTAAATTCAAAAGGCATTAACAGTATGCTAAATGACTACGTAATGTGATAGTTAGCAAAAGGTAAGCACATGGCAAAGAAAAAGTCTTGAAAACACCGTAAATGTTGTTTTACGTTAGGAGTAAGGGGTCACAAAAAGATTGAAAGATGCAATAAAGAAGTCTGCCAACACACTGATTCAAATTTCACGATTCCGTCTAGAACGGTAGGCGTATTATTTCAGGACACCTTTTGAGTGGCCTTTGTCATCCTTAGACTTGCCAGCGTGTCCTCAAATGAGAAACGTCTATTGGTTGATATCAGACCAAAGACAGAAACCAAGCGTATTAGGAAGATAATTTACAAGATATCCGTTCTCGACATGTAGCATTGGCTCATCTTTACTGATTGATGCTGTGAATTAGTGTTAGAGTTGGCGAAGTTTCTGTTTTTTAGGTAAAGCAAATGTTTTCCAGGTGTTCGAAATGAATCAGTCATGTTGATCATTTGGAGAAACAGCTGTAGATTCTTCAGTGAAAACCACCCAAAACTTAACCGTATCTAAATGATCTAGCATCTAGCATCGTACTACGTCTATTATCTGACATGCATGAACGGTGCGGGTGTGATAACCAGACTGGTTTTCTATTTGGTCGAGGCTATATTGATCTTACTTTCCTTTTCACTAAATGTTTGAACACAGATATTGCTCTTTCAGACATAAGCTATTTTTTCTCTGATCTTAGAGCAGCTGTTGACTCTGTCGGTCACACCCTAGCCTTGACTGTCTTCTTAAAGTATGCACAATGAAAGGTTAGTTTTCTATTGCAGTTCATGTATAGCAACAGTCAAATTTTACATCGAAATGGTTCCTTCTTTGCACTCGCGATCGCAACGGCATGTGATGTTTTTAGCTCTGCAATTTCTCTTGTTTTCAACTATTATATTTGATTTTTGATGTGCCTTGACCCTCGTACGGGGATTGGAGTGTTTATATTGTCCCGGATAACGAGTTCCCCATTCTGGAGGGACCAAATGGTATGGTACTACTGAGTGGAGATCCATATAAGTTGCAAGATTTTCCGGACGAGTTCAGCGGTAATGTGTCTGTCTTCGGCATGCATTTTGTGCAGTCAGGGTTGGATTGACCCAGGTCTGAACCTCACTCTTACTGGGCAAATAATACAGACAGTTGACGAATTTTACTATTTGAGCAGCAGAAGATTTACTGGTAGAAGAATCACAGGTAGTTTGTCGCTACAAATAGAGGTGACCTGGTTAGTCTTTCCTAACTTAAGACACCAACGGCGCTGCCGCGACATTCGGTTATCCCTGATGGGTCGCTTGTATGTTGTGACTATCCGGTCTATTTTACTCCGTGCAGAGGCATGGTAGTGGCGGGATTAAGATCAAGATAGACTATTGGTGCTCAAACACTGCTTTCTACGCAGTAGATGACAATCAAAACCGCCGCACGAAGGTGCGTGGATAATGGTTTTATAAACTGAACTGAGCTGTTCATGCCTCATTACACTAGTCCAGTGGGGCAACCGGACAGACAGTACAAAATAAAAAGTAGGTATTTAGGCAATTGCGGTTACCAATTAGTACACGTGTTCAATCGCCATAGATTACGTGACTGGGGTGTGTTTCATGCACCTTACTAGATGGGCTTTCTCGAAGTACTATCTTTCCCGAGGCAGGTGTTGCCTGGAACAAGTCAAGTACAAAATCCCTGGCAAGGAGATTGTGAAATAGGTCACATTAGGTTGTGCGTTTGGGGACTTTGTGGTTTGCCGAATTTATTGCNTTATTGCTACAAACAGTGAGTGATTTACATGAGTGGCGGTAGTTGTTCTGGTTTTATCTACCATTATAGTTCACAGACTTTCTTTATCTCTTATTGATTGTTCTTTGAGCTTCCATTTCGTTCGTGCTGGTCTAAGTGCAGACTGTCCCAAATAAATCGTGACAAAATAACCTTTGAGATTGCGAAATCGGTCCATGGTTCGTTACTTTGTGGAATACTGTCACGTTGACCAAACCGAAGCAATTGATGCATTTAAAGGTTGATACTATGACGGGCATGCAAAGCAATGGGGNGGGTAGAGGGTAATTTTAGGAGCGTCGCAATACAATACGGGTTGATGTTCGGTCAATCTGAATAAATATCCGTCAGGCTTGGTTCGGACATCCAGAATGCTCGGTACAACTTACCACCGCTACCGGGATGTCTCAGGGGCAGTAAATACGCCTTGAGAGGTTTTGAAAGCTGTAATTTTCATCCCTACCGTGTTATTTGGATTCTAAGGACATATCATCCTGATGATAGCCAATGATAGTGGCCTTGCGTTTTTTCGTTGGATTTAAAACTTCCTAGCCACGAAACCGGATGGTGCAGTACGTCAGGGTATTTTTTACGGCTTCACTAACCTGCTCGCTCATCGTGCAAATGCACAATGTTAACCAATTAGGTTCATTTTGAATGATGAATTATATTGTTTTTCTATTGTATAATTCAAGTTTTGTATTCATGTATGTTTCCAGAAGGATTAATGAAATGAGTCCAGATCACAAACACCAGACAAATTAGAATCACAAAAATAATGTCTTAAGAATTCAGTCCAAGTAGTCTTCCCCAGCAATCTCATATGCTTAGAGCGGTTTCCACTTAGAATATTATACTAAATAAGGATGCCTGATGAAATAAGGAAGTCTCTCCTTTTCATTATTGTTCGCAGTTGATGTCCATCCAGATGAAAGTTACCAATATGGAAGGCTTCAGTTTTCCGCACTTAGATCTTTACACTTGTGGATCCCTCAAGAAAATTCACCTGCCTTGCTTTGGCAAACTGGCAGTACTCAGCCCACAAGCCAGTCGCGGTACATTTTCTTTTTATAAAGATTATTGTACCATGATTTGTTTGGCACACAGTCTGTCCTCAGACAAGTGTGAAATATATATATACAGCTAATATGAATGACAGTTCGTACTTTCACATGCATAAAACCCTAACAGTATCCCCGTCATCTAAAATTTCACTATTGTTCTCTTGACATTTTTCAGTGTTTTCGTTGTTCTCTTGGTAGTCGCCAGTATAGCCTGGGTACCGGTCATTCAGGAACTACAGGGTAGTCAACTGTTTATTTACATTCAAGCGGTTTGTGCTTGCTTGGCACCACCGGTTGCGGCTGTTTATCTGTTGGCCATTCTATCACGTCGTTGTACTGAACGTGTAAGTGCAATTCTGTCTCATTTTGCCACTCAGCTTTTGTCCGTTGTTGATTTTTCTCACTCGAAGTCCATTCAGGATCAACGATACTATACAGCCTGTGATGGAACACTACGAGGTCTGTCAATTTATTTGCCAAATACTTCACAGACGCCTTTATTTCTGCCATGCCCTTGACTTCAAGAGTATTGAAAGCTTCTTGCTATCAAACTAATGTAGCCACCTCATGTCAACATTCCATTATTTCCTATGCTTTGTGCATTGATAAAAAAATTGTTTTTGTGAGACGTTTATCACAAACATTGATCAAACAATTTAATTCAGTCATTAAAGGAAATTATTGCCTTACCATTAGTTTTATATGGTAAACATATGAATGGTTTTCTTTTAAGCTCCTGAACTGTGATATATGATCCATTCAAGATCGATTTTCATTATTTCGATTCGATATGACCGAATTTCGCTACTTTGTTTGTAAACAGTCCGCCACTTTGGACATGTCTAACTGCTAGTCTGTGTGCAGTGGTTTACTAAGAATAATTTGTCTATATTCACGATTTATACGTTTGTCTGTTTGGCGTGTTCCTTGCAACTCATTCGACAGCTTTGTTGACCCCGAGAAGTTGTCTACAGTGTGTTCGTGTTAAAATGGATTTCATGGATCTCCACAAACCTTCATCAAACCTCCGTGACAGTTGTTGCTATAAACATGCAAATACAGTTTGCAAGTAGAACATCTCTCATAATTAGGTTAACAACAATAGTAGTCATTAAAATGTGAGTATCAATTCATCTTTGTTTCGCTTTTAGACTAAACCCATTGTTAAAACGCTTGAAAATGGAATCGAACCAAATAGCAACTAGTTATGTAAATTTTTCGCTCAGTGTTTCTTAAGCGACATAACTAATACCTGTATGAATTTTGATAAATCCTTTAGCCCCGATGGGATTCGGACCCACTTACTGACGCGCCTAAGCTTCTGTGCATTGCAAAAGCTGAGCTACGTGACAACAAAGTCAACACTGTCAGATCAAATAGACCACATGCAAAGTGATAGATTTCATATATAACATTGAACTCATAGTTACTTGCGAGTAATGGATAATCGATATTGATTTGAACCGGCCATCCTTTGGAGTTCACCTTCACGCACAACGCTCAATTCTTTCAGTCACTCATATACGGACTGACTATCACTGAAGACGACACCTGAACAAAGATGAATAGGCACTTCGATGCAGCCCTGGTATAGGGTGGTTGGGGCAGTGACA